AAGTTTTTCTTTTTCAAATCAACTTATAAATTTTAGTTTTCAACCACAAATGTTAAGAAAAGCTGTTTACTGTAAAATGTAGTAATTTATTAATATTATAAATAAAGAACGCATTTAAAATAACTGTTTTAATGTGAACCTCGTTTCCATGTCACAGCAATATTTTTGAGAAAAAAAGAAGTACGCAAAAAATACTGAAAGCTACTCTTTCACGATTGCTATCAAGTAAATTTGAAAAGTCCTTCATACAACCTTTCACCAGATATTACTAATATTTTCTCCCCCCCGAGTGGTACCGAGAACCTGCCCTGGTCCATGGAGTATATTATGACATGCGCAGTAAGACTCAGGACTACGCTTTTTTTGACCATGCTTGCTGTGATACTGACCACACGATCTGAAATGATATGTGAAATTTGAAGCTTGTGGCAAATACAATGACCAAGATGGAACATCACGAAATCGAGAGCATGCTTCGACTAAAGAGGTGTTTTACTTATCCGGCATAGGGGCGGATCCAGGATTTTTCTCAGGAGGGGTGCACCACTAAGGAATGGCGTAACTGACTGGTGAGGTAAACAAATTTTAAAAGTGAATGTGAAGAAATAAACTTGTCATTAGAATTTTGATCAACAGTTACATCTTAACATGCACATTCCACCATTTGTCACAAAAAAAGTAATGCATTTTCTTCTCTAAAATTCTTAAGACTAAAGTTATGTAGACTGCTCTAATGATCTTCAAAAACATAAAGTTTTGACCATATTTGTAACTTTGATCTCCTTTCAATAACGTACTTATATTGTATTCCGTACTTATTTACACGCTAGAATTTTTACGGAAATAGCAGTTGTCGGAAACATATAGATGACTCGAATTTTATCTCCTTTTTCAATAACGTACATATATTGTAGTCCATACTTAAACGCTGGCATTTTTACAGAAATAGCAATACTCGGAAACATGTAGATGATTCGACGCGTAAATCTGAAAACTTTATATAACTGCCAATTCAGAATAAAATGGAATCTAAGGAAATCGTCAAAACAGAGAGCTTCCTGTTTCTCTGCCTTCTGTCTTACACAGTACTAACTTCCAAACACTGGAATATCGTAGAGTGTTTAATTAAAGCGACTTTGCCAACAACACATATTATAATAAAGTTTTCATATAACGCGCGCTCTGATTGGCTGAAACAGTGTGCTTTACCAGAGAACAGAGCACGGGTTGATGAGGGTTGCTGACGATAAGCTGGCTTTCAAATTTTTGCTTCGGAAGTTTGGAAAATTTGACCCAATTAAACATCCTTTGTGACTCACACAAACGAAATGGAAACAGGCTATTTGTCTGCAGTAAATATGGCTGCACGGAGACCATTGTGAACAACAGTAGTGTTGAAACTGTACTAAAATAACAAGTTTTGCTAGATTCCGAAAAAGCAGAGAGCGAAATAAACAAATTCTCAACCTAGCGAGTGCTTCGATAAAAGATGTTATATTTGCTTCGAAGGCAGAAATTATACTTCAGCAGTAAAACAACCAAAGAAGATACTTAGCAAGTAAAACCTCGTCGACAAAAGAAGTTGACGAGGTAAGAAAGATGTTATATCTATGACTAATTAAAGGCAGCCAAGCGCGAGAAGAAGGCTGTCGAAAAGCTGATCATCGATGCTCTTTACCGTGGCCAAGAGACATTACAATTTCCTTTCTATAGACGTTTAATGGACAATTAAGCTAAAGTCAACGCTTAACGCTAGTTTAGTTTTTTTTTCTACGTAACCACCTGCTTGAGAGCTGCAGCTTTCCACTCTCTGTATCCAGTCAAAACGCCGCACCGACAAAGCTTTAGGTAAGTCTGTAACAGTTATGTGTTTTTGTATGTGTTTCAGAGAGTGTTTCCGTTTTAGCTTGCTCTTCTGTCATGTTGATCAAACTTGTTTTGATGTTAACGGCGTAATAAGAATCACGCCTTGTCATAAATATCAACCGCACCGTGAGTATACTTCTAAGACAGCTTTTTTCGTTATTTCTTGGATACCCCGCCTGTCTTTTCATTAGAAACTAAATGTATAAGCTGTTATCACTTAACGTAAGTAGACTAAACAGTTCGAAAAAGCGAAGACAAGTTTTTAGTTGGTTCCATCAGCAGCAATCGGATATAATTTTCTTGCCAGAAACTTATTCCTTCCCAAAATAATTTTGGTAAACATTTATGCACCAAACGATGTAACCCAACAAGTTGTTTTCCTCGCGATCGGAGACCTTTCAAGAGAATTTCTAATCCCGTACGCCAGTGACAACCTAGTGCTAGGAGGTGGTTTCAACTGTACAATTAGCACTTTAGACCAAAAAGGTGGTAGACCGATTAGTTGACAGCAAAAAAGCTTCTCTCAATGAGCTTCAATCACGGTCAATTAAAACACACAATTTACTTGATTCCTGGCGTTTCAAGAATCCAGATCAACCTGGCATTACATGGAATAACCCATTAATGAAAATAC